CACCTTAGGTGTATGTGGCTGGCGCCTTAGCCGCTTGAGCCACAGGCGCTGAGCCCAGGCTGGTCTTAAACTCCTAAACTTAGGCAATCCACCTGCCTCAGCCTCTCAGAGTGTTAGGATTAGGCGTGAGCCACTGATCCTGGCCTCTTGTCTGTACTTCTAATCTAATCTAATCACTCTGATGCTAATCACGTCCCTTCAAATCTTTCTTCATAATGCAACCAGAATGAGCTAATAAACACATCTGATCATTTCACTACTATCCTTGGAATAGTCTTACAACCCACATAAATTCTTTTTATCATAGCATACAATAACTTCTTTTTCATAAAAATACATTTAGGGGGTACAAGTGCAAGTGTTTCTCATGGGTATATTGCAGACTGGTGAAGTCTGAGCTTTCTGTGTAACCATCACCTGAACAGTATACCTTGTTCCCATTTCTCATCCCTCACCCCCACGCTACCCTCCCACCTTTCCAAGTCTCCAGCGTTTATTATTCCACCCTCTCTGTCTGCATATACATTATTTAGCTCCTGCTTATATTTGAGAACATGGTATTTGACTTTTGGCTTCTGAGTTACAGTAATTTCTTTGACTTGGTTCGTAATGACCATTGATTAACATTTGTTGGTTAGAACAATACACCTCTGAATACCAGACAGCTTTTAGTTTCCTATAACCCCATACTGTATAATACCATTGTGTCTTTGCACTTTCCCTATGACCATCCCCCTTTGTTCACTTGGTTCTTGCTTAGCCTTCCACACTCAGCTTAGATATTAACTTCTCTATAATCCTTCCCTAAGTCTCTCAGATAAGACAAATGCCTTTCCTTAATAGTTCTATAACATATAGATATAATTTTATCACTGCATTAACACTATGTATTACAATTATCCATTTAAATATTTGTCTCCTTTACTAAATTAAAACTTATTACAGGCCCATTATCTAGCAGTGTGTCTGACACTGTGTTTATAATTTTTTTGTAGAATTAAATTGAATGATCATTCAAGTTGATTCCAATTTTTTCAGAGTTATAAATAATAATGCTATAATAAACAGTTTTTGTGCAAATGATATGTTTAAAAATTTTATTATGAAAAAATAAAAAATAAAAAATTTTATTATGATAAATGTTATGATAAAAGATTACTGGGTCCAAAAATATGAACAGTTCTTAAGACTCTTCAGTAATTTATGTTTGTTATTTTTAATAGGTGATAAAAACAAGAGGCAAATGATCATTTGAAAGTTTTTGTCTTGACATTTGACTAATATTACTTAGTTTATACCAATTATCACTGCCTTAAAGAATAAAAGTTAAGGCTCGGTGCCTGTAGCACAATGGTTATGGCACCAGCCACATGCACCAAGGCTGGTGGTTTCAAACACAGCCCAGGCCAGCTAAACAATGACAGCTGCAACCAAAAAACAGCCGAGCATTGTGGC